AGCTTGGGTTTTTTATCTCTGTGGCTTCTTTCCTTCTACTCCAGGCCTTGGTGGCTACCAGTTTTCTCTCCTGAGGCGATCTCATCACTTCTTTCTCTGTTCCTGCCCCTCTATCGTGTCCTCCTTTTCCGGGAAGCCAGGAAAATTACTGAGCTTCTACTTAACCTCTGCCCTAACCAGGGTGGGTCTGGCAGGAGAGGCAGCCATTTTGAAACTGTCTTGGTGTGTGTGGGGAAGGTGGGGAGAGGACAAATATGTGTTGTGACACTATCTCGTTTTGTCCTTCCCTTCTTGCAAGGTAGGTAGGTATTCTTAGAGACAAGGACAGTGGGAGGCTCAGAGAGGTTGGGTAACTTGCACTAGAGCACCCTGTTGGTAAGTGGTAGCTATCTGACTCCAAAACCTCTGTTTTCCACCTCACACCCTGGCACAGGAGGTAAAGCAGGGTAAGAGGCCTGCACATGCCAGGCTCAGGAGAGGCACAACCTCTCTGAAGGAGGCCACTGCTTTGTTGCTCCCTGTCCCATGCAGTGCCTCCTCACCCCCTCCCTTTACCCTCTGGTTCCCACCTTCCTCTGGGCCCCTCTGCACAGGGGTGAAACCTCACAAATGCAAGCTTATGCCCCGGGGGTGCTGGGGAGAAGGCAATCAAGTGGGAGAAACCCAGACCTTGGAGGTCTCCCTCCTGCTGACACCCTCTCCCAGCCCCTCCCCTCTGTGGGGCAAGCTTGCCAGCATCTGCTTCTGTCTCATTGTGCTCTGGGGGAAAGGGAGAGCCGGGGGTGAGTGGGTGTCTCTGTGCATGAACATAAGGCCTCCGGGTTCATTCTGACACTGAATGAAAAACTCACCAATTATTCGCCCAATCTCATTAACATGCAGACAGACATCTGTTATTTAGGAGTCAACAGCAGAGGCATTTTCTTGGGGGGAGGAGCACTTATGTCCATGTCCCTCTTGTCTCTCTGGCTCCTGGGAGGGAGCTACTGGGAATCACCCCACCGCCTGGAGCCAGAGCCTCCCCCTCTCTGACCCTCACCCCAACCCTCAGGAGAAGGAGTAGGGGATTGACTGGAGAGATGGAGAGAGACCTGGGAACCCAGCAGGGGCAAGGCGGGAGAGGGGCTGCAGTGTGCAGAAGGAAATCTTCTGTTAGGAGAAAGGCAGGGGTACCACGGAAGAGCTGAACCCCTTTCCCCGGGGAAGACAGTGAGGAGCTGGTGGAGAGAGCTGTGCCAGGATTGCTGGTGTCCACTGGCAACCTCGGACATGACTTCTTCCTCCTACCTCCCTCAGCCCTCAGGATCAATCTGAGTGTATCTGGGGTGGGGCCACCATGGTAACCAGAGACTTCAGAATGGGTAATGGGAAGAGTTTAGAAAACTGAGGACCAAAAGACCTGAGCCTTGAGAGTCTCTAAAGGGTCTCTCTAGTCCTTAGGATACGGGTGAGAGAAGACACAGCCACCCCCCTTCCTGTGTTTTGGCCTTCCTCCAGCCTTTGGATCCCTAGCACGGGAAGCCCCCTCTAAGAAGCCATTCTGGATTCCTCCGGCCCAGCTCAGAAGCCCTGGGTGACTACATTGGAAAGAAATAAAAGTTGAGCCCTAACTGGTTTGGCTCCGTGGATAGAGCATCATCGGTCTACAGACTGAAGAGTCCCAGTTCTATTCCGTTCAAGGGCACATACCTCGGTTGCAGGCTCCTCCCCAACCTGGGCCCTGGTGAGGGCTTGTGCAGGAGGCAACCGATCGATGTATTTCTCTCACATCAATATTTCTCTCTGTCTCTCCCTCTCTCTTCCACTCTGCAAAAATCAGTGGAAAAATATCTTCTGGTGAGGATTAACAAAACATGAGAATAAAGGTTGACCTAGCTCAGCCATCTTTAAAGGGCCAACCAGCTTTTCTACATCCTTTCTCTGAATCCTCCTCAACGCGAGGGCGCTGCGGTGACCAGCTCCCCTTCTCCAGGTGTGAGCACTGAGGCTCAGACAGGTGCAGGCCCTTCCCAGAGGCGCCCTAGGGGGGCAGGGGAGGAGCTGGGGCCCAGGCCCTTGAACCTGTGCCTCCAATCTTAAGCTCTTCACAGGACTGTCCCTGCTGGGAAGACTGGAGTCACAAGGAGATGACCCTCTCGCAGGTGAAGCACTTTAGGGATTAGACCCCTGCCCCTGCCCCTTCCCTTCCTTTCCCCTCCTCCCTCCTGGGCAGGCTGATGGCTGAGGTTAAGAAACGCTGGAAGCATCACAGTGATTAGCAGTTTATTTCATTAAATGATTAAGGAGGCTACATTGTTTCCCAAACGGGTGTCTAATTTGTGGGGGAAACAGCTGCAGAGATGGAAGCTGAGCCTGACTCCTGCAACTGAGATAAGGGAGAGGGAGGTGGGAGTCAGGTTCCCTCCCTCCAGCCTGCAGGGGGCTTTGAGGAGCAAGAAGAAGCCCCCTCCTCTCCCCACACCTCTTGGGCTCCTGAGTGCAGAGATACACTAAGAAGCCCATTTTCCCCCGGGAAATAAAACCAGGACCTGCAGAGGGGACCAAGATCTGTTGCCAGTGGTATTGGAAATGTATTAAACTTTGGGGGCTCCTCCAACTGATTTATTTTCCTAATTATGTTTGCTTTAGGCGGATATTGAAATGCCTTTGCACTCCCCAAGTGCCAGCGTGGCAGGAGAGGGATGCTGGGAGCAGAGAGGGACACAGTCACTGCACTTTGGCAGCCACAGGCTGCAGCCTGCCTGGTACCAAAGTCCAAAGGGAAAGGGAAGCCCCGAGTTCCCTGCGGGGGAAGAGTCAGTCCCGAGGGACCAGACGGAGAGGTGGGCCTTCCCAGAACCCCTCACCCAGGTCTCAGGGTCCTTGAGGAGGGTCTCAGTCAGCCTCTAGCCAGGTCCAGGTTTGAGAGGGTGGGTGTCCTATGCCTTTAAGCTGCCCCAGAATCCTTGAGGAGATTGGTTGAGATGGACCAGGACAGGGACCTTAGGAGAGGGGGGGAAAGAGGTGTCTGCTGAGCTGGGAGTGGGTGGGAGTTTCTTTTCCACTCCAGGCTGGGCCCTGGCACAGGGAAAGGAGAAGCTATTTTAAATGATACATCTCAGAGCCAAACCCCCACCCCCATCACCTCATCCAGAGGACCCATCCACCCAAAAGCCAAATCTGGTCCCTTCCTTCTGTGCTACAAGTCCCCAGCGCCTCCTCCCGTCCTCGGAAGGAAATCCTGGTTTCCTTGTGGGCCCTGCAGTGGCCTTAGTGTACCTTCCCAGCCCTGTCTTCTGCCCTTCCCGCCATGGCAGTCCCAACCGTGCCATGGTGTTCCTCATCTCCATACGCCTGCACATGCTCTGCCCTCTGTCCGGAGTGCTTCTCCTCCTCCTTTCCTGCCTGGAGACTCCTCTCCAACCCTCAGGACCTGGCTCAGGGCATGGGCTCCCAAGACTGTAAGGAGATCCCACGGCCAAGGCCCTGTCACACCTGGGGTGCCTCTCTTCCCCGACGGGCGGGTCCCCCGAGCAAAGAGACTGGTCCCTTCCGTCTCCCAAGCCCGTGTCTGACACACAGTCAGTGCTCAGTGACACACATCGGCTGAATGGATGCCAGAGGGACGGGCCGCGATTTGGGGGTGGGGATTCCAGATGGGAGGGTAAGGTCTGTGTTCTCTCCCCAGAGTGTGTCTGGAGGAGCTGTCTGGGGCTGGGGGAGGGGAGGGCCAGGGACGGTTCCTGGGGGAGAATGTCACCGAAAAGAGGCCAGTGGGCCCGGAGCCAGGGAGGGAATACAGGACAATGTGAAACTAGACTCCCGAGAAAACAGACCAGCACTGTCTTTTCCTGACAACAAGTGCTCCAGCCAGCCCCTCCACCGGCTTTCCTTCAGTAGGGGGTGGGGAGGGGGTGACCCTAAACTCAGCCGATGCTCCCTCCAACATCATCAAAGAGCTCAGAAAGGAAAGCGGGTGAGAACCACTGTCTTCCTCCGAGGAGACTCCGGAATCAAACCTCTGTCCCCTTGCGAAGCTACCCTAAGTCCAGGGTCACTTCTTTCAATGCTCTCCCTACCCCAGAACCCCTAGGGTAGCAGCACATTCCAGGGTGGGGGTGTGTGGAGATGGGGAGCAAAGGGCCTGGACCACTGCAGCTGGACCCCTCTCAGGCAAGCAGGGGGCCCCAGCGGGGCTGAGGAACGAATTGCACATCAGTCCACTTTAACCCCCCTGAAGGCTCTAGGGTTGTTTGGCTCATTAACGGAGGTGAATATTCCCAAGATGCCTCACTTCCCCACCTCTGCTCCTAAAGGACACTGCTGACCCAAGGCCTCCTCTGCTTCCTCCTGAAGTCTCACTTTCCCTCCTGCTCCCGGAGATGGGTAGACTGGCATTTAGAAAGCAACAGAACTAAAGCCACAGCCGTTTTCCATGGACAGGGGCTTTATTTGGGGGCTGCTGGGGAAGAGAGGGAGGAGCTAGGACTGGTGAGTATGGGGGGGAAGGGCTTCTGAACTTGCTTTTTCATTTAGTGCCTGCTGCCTGGCGGTTAGGGTAAGTGAGCACAGCTGTGGAAGTGAGAGGAGAGGAAAAGGGAAGTGCATGGCACGGACACTTTCCTTCGGGGAGGAAGCCAGGACCGGGATCTGGGGCCTGGGGGAGCAGGGAGGGAAGGCACTCTTCATCTATCGACACTCAACCAAGGTCACTGCTCCATGCCAGCTCCCCTAAACCCCCTGCCCTTCCTTCTGTCCGTCTCAGCTCCAGACCCAGACGCTGGCTCTGCTAGCTCCCTCAACTTCCTGTGGAGAGGAGGGGGAGGAGGGGGTGGGGAATGATGGTACCCTCTGCCTCCAGGTCCCTGGCCCAGGAGAATTGCTCACTCAGCCTGGCCTGAAGTTCCAGCCAGTCAGGGGGTCGGGGGGTCAGGGGGTCAGGAAGCCCGGGGGGGGGGGCAGGCAGGGGAGCAGCTGTGCCCTTCACCACCCCTCCTGACACCCTGCCCCTCCTCGGCTCCTCACATGAGGTTGCAACTCTTGGCGCGATCCTTGTGCATCTCGCCTTCGTTCCCGTTCCCCCGGTCCAGCTGAGTGGACCGCTGCAGGCCCCGGCGTGAGTCCGTGCGGCGCAGCTGCCTGTGGCCACGGCCGAGGGAGGCCACGGTGGCCACGTGGAAGACGTCCCTGACGCTGCGCTCGGAGGAGCGGGAGGAGCACTCCACGTAGGACACGGCCCCCACCTGCTTGGCCAGCACGGTGCCCTGGGAGGGTGGAGTGGATGAAGGCAGGTATGCGTTTCAGCAAGGGGCCCGGGAGGCAGAGGGCTGGGGGGGGGGGGCGGAGGTCGAGGGAGGAGGCCAGAGGTTAGAGGCCAGGACAAGGGATGGACAGAATAGGGTGTTTTCAAATCAGAGACGGAGAGGGTCCGAAGCGGGAGGCCTAGGCTGGGGGGAGGGCAAAGGTCAAGAGTCCCACCTGCTCATGGGTCACAGGGATAAGCCTCTGCTTGGACAGCTCCCTCAGGGTGGCCAGGTCGGTCCGCATGTCCAGTTTACAGCCAACCAGCACCACCTTGGCATTGGGACAGAACTCCTGAGTCTCCCCTTGCCACTATTTGGGGAAAGAAAATAAGAGTTGTGGAGGGTAGAAGAAGGGACATGGTGAACCATGCTCCCCACTAGGCGGCCCTCCCTACCTCTCCTCCCCCACCCCTGTTATCACAGCATCAGAAACCGATACCCCTCTGGAAGCTCCTGTGTGAGCAAGGAGGTGAGGGTGGTGGGCTTGGGCTGAAGGCAGGGATGGGGGGTGGGAGAAGGGGAGGGAGGAGAGGGCTGAGGTGGGGCTCTAGGGGCTGTGCCCTGCGTCTAATGCAGAGGCCATGTAGCTTCTGCCGGCCTGGGGCCTTCCCATGCTGACCCCCTATCCTAAGTCTGTGTGTGGGAACAGACGGACTCCCCTCCCCCACCTGGGAACTGGGGCCGCCTTAGCTGACTTCTGGCCTTTCACCACAGGCTTTTCTCATGGAAATAGGGGCCTGCAGCTGAGACCTCAGGGCTTTCCTGAGCTCAGAGAGCAGCCTTCCCATCTGGGGTTCCCATGCACAAGGAGATGGGGACAGTGGCTACGGAATCGCCTGAGTACCTCTCCCTCATCACCCCCAGGTGCCCTACCCAGCTCTGAGGATTGACTTCTAGGGAAGGGGGGTGGGGAGGAGGAGAGCTTCACACACTCTCAAGTCGATGGCTCCTGCCGTATCGGAACCGCGGTTCCTGGTCCCCCTCCGTCTAACGTCCTGCTTCCCAGGCGCCCACCTTCTTGAGGACACTGTCCAGTGTCTCTGGTCGGCTGATGTCGAAGCAGATGAGCACAGCATCCGAATCAGGATAGGCGAGGGGCCGGACATTATCATAGTAAGAGGAGCCTGAGAGAAGACAGAGGGGAGAGGGCAGGTAAGGGTCCTGCGTGGGCAGAAGGCCTGGGAGGGGATGGGAGGGGAGGGGAGACCTGGTGCTGGGATCAGGGAAAGGAGAAGAGCAGTTATTAAAAGCCATCCAGGACTCTGTGTTTCTCCAAGGCGGGGACAGGCAGAGGGGCGGCTCGATGGCAGACAACAGCTCTCCCCCCTCCCCAGGGCTGTCTCTAAAAGGAAGCATTCTGAATCTTTCCAGAGTCTGAGAAGCTCACGAAATCTCTCGACATTCTCACAAAATTTTGCGTGTGCTTTCCGGGCTCTGAGAGACATCTTCTAATGACCTCCAGGGGACCAGGGTAAAAATAAAACCCTCCTCCTCTTGGGACTTGATCTCAGATTTCTATAGCTCAGACTAGAGACCTCGTGCCCAGACTCAAAGAGATTCTCACCATCTTTCCTAAATCCAGCACAACCTCCTAAAGAAACACGTTCCCAAGTGAAAAAAACCGCCCCTCAACTTTCCCAGAGAGGCAGGACCCAGCCGAGGGGACAGGCTACTGGGCGTTTCTCCCCCAGGGCACGGTTTCTCTATGCCAGCAAGCTCTGCCTCAGTTTCTCTGGCTTTAAGCAGCCGGGTTGCTTTTCCTTCCTCCTGGAATTCGGGGGATGGGCTGAGCGGAAGCCTAAAGGTCTAGCCGAGGGAGGGGCCAGGGTGGGGGCCTTGGAAGTCAGGGTGACCCCAGGGAGGTGGCTACCTGAGGTGTCCCACATGTTGAGCTCGATGCGGCGCTTGTCTATCTCAAAGCTGGCGGTGTAGTTCTCAAACACGGTGGGCACATAACTCTGCAGACACGGATGGGTCAAGATGTGGTCCTCCAGCCCTCGCTCCAGACAAATGCCCTCCTCACTCCCTCACCCTGGCCAGCCCAGCCCCTGGACGCAAGTTGGTTCCTTGTGGGGCAGAGGGGGATCTCTGCTAGGCTTCCAGACCCCCTCCCCAGCCCTTGCAGCCCCCAGTTCGCCCCCTCTCCGATGCCCAGGACCCCCGCCATCCCCTAATACCCCTCCTGAGATCCTCTCCTTTCCCCAAACCCCAATCATCTCATCCTGGTCCCCAATCCTCTGCAGTCCTTCCAGAGCTCCCAACACCACCCCCCAAAACCCCGTCCTCCATGCCTCTCTCCGGTCCCTGGTAACCCCGTGCCCATTTCTGCGGGTCCCCCGGGCTCCATCACCCACCCCCGCGACCTCAGCCCTCCGCTCCCCAGACGCCGTCCCTCACCCCGGGGTAGGCGTCCTTGGCGAACACCTGCAGCAGCGCCGTCTTGCCGCACTCCGCGTCCCCCACCACCACGATCTTGCAGCGGCCGCTCTGCCCCTCCATGGTCCCGGCTACACGCCGGCGGCGCCCCGCGGAGCCCCCCTCCCGGGCCCCGCCGCCTCCCCCGCCGCCGCAGCTGCAGCCGCTCGGGCCGCCGACACCGGCATCTCGCGGGCCCGCGCCGAGCCCCCACCCGGGGCCGCGGCCCCCCCTCCGCCCCGCCCCCCGCCCGGCGGCCGCGCCCCCGGCCCCGCCTCCCGCCCCCGCCCCGGTCCCCGCAGCCGGGAGGCGGGGCCCCGGGGAGCTAGCGGGACCGGGAACCCGGGGAGAAAGCAGAGTTCTCGCTGGTGGTTTGGGGCGGGCCGATCCGGGCTTTTTGACTGATTTGACTTTCTCGGGGGCGGGGCGGGGGCGGGCTTGGTGGGATCGGCACCCGCACGAGGCTCGGGCCCTTTGCGTGCCCACGCGTGCACGCCGGTGTGCCACTGCGGACCCGCGCGGGGCCACCCACCGCTCCCTGACCAGGAGGCAGCGGTGGTGGGGAGGAAAAGAGCCTTTAGGGTTCGGTCACCCTCCTCGATGCTCGGGTCCCGGCAGGGAGTCCTGGGGTTAGGAGGGTAGGGACTCCATCACCCGCACCGGGAAAATGGTGACATCATGGCTTTCCGTCCCCATGGCAACGAGTGGCCTCGTCTGGGGCTGTGGTGACTTACCGGCGGGCCTGGACTAGCTGGAGGCAGGAATGAGTTTGTTCAGCCGAGCACAGGGTGGAAAGTTTTGGGGGAGCTGCGTCCTCTGGTGGATACTTGGGGGAGACAGGGATGGGGAGCAAAGAAGAGGCAGATGGAATTGCCCAGAGTGACAGCCAGGCTGGAGCCAGAGGCAAACTCTAGAGTCATTTCAGGCTTGATCCGGAGTCTAACAATAATCGAGTTTCTGTTTTGCCTTTGTCTGCCATGTTTTACTTTTGAAAAGCGCTCTTTGCATCAAGGATACTGGATTTGATTTTATCTTTACTCTTTTTTTAAAAAAAAATGTTTTATTGATTTTTTTACAGAGAGGAAAGGAGAGGGACAGAGAGCTAGAAACATTGATCTGTTGCCTCCTGCACACCCCCTACTGGGATGTGCCCACAACCAAAGCACGTGCCCTGACCAGAATCGAACCCGGGACCCTTGAGTCCGCAGGCCGACGCTCTATCCAAACAGGTTTGGGCTTATCTTTACTCTTTATCAAGCAGTGTCTTCACCATTTGGGAGAAGGGAAAATTGAAGCACAGAGCTTTAATAAACAAAATGAAGTGGAAAGTTTTTAAGACTCTATCTCTCTGCCCTAACCGGGTTGGCTCAGTGGATAGAGCGTTGGACAGAAGGGTCCCAGGTTCGATTCTGGTCAAGGGCATGTACCTTGGTTGCAGGCACAACCCCAGTGGGGAGTGTGCAGGAGGCAGTTGATCCATGTTCCTCTGTCATTGATGTTTCTCTCTATCCCTCTACCTTCCTCTCTTTAAAAAAAAAAAATCAAAAATATATATTTTTAAAAACATTAAAAAAAAAAAAAGACTATCTCTCTGCTCCAAGTTTGCCATGGATAGACCACACGGAATGGGTCACGTATGGGTAGAGTCAGAGTCTGAAGAACAACTTGTTCGGGTTCCGGTCTACAGGTGGCCAGCTCTTCAGATCTGACGTCAGCTCAGTTTCAGACTGCTCCTCAACATATACTTCAACTTGCGTAAGATTCATTATGAATACACAAGTAAATTAAATCGCGATCTGCACGACCCGAAGAATGCCCTCGCTCCGCAGAGGTTCCAGTCTCCAGGGCAGCGGAGGCGTGGCCTTGGCCCTTTAAGGGGGCGCGCGAAGCCCCGCCCCCGGGCCGGCGCCCCGCCCCTCCGCTCTGGTCCTCAGCCTGGCCTTACCCCGGCGCGCCCCGCCCTCCCCAGCTGTGCAGCCTTCAGCCCAGCTGTGCGCGCACCGGAGCCCCAGCCATGTCCGCGGAGAGAGAGGCAGCCAAGGGGGCCACCGCGGTGGCGACGGGCGACGCCCACCCGCTGCGCTACCTGGAGCTCACCGGCTTCGGCGGCCACGACAAGCTGAAGCTGCGGACCAGACCGGCCGCGCCCCCGGCCCCCGGCCCCGGCCAGGTGACCGTGCGCGTCCGGGCCAGTGGCCTCAACTTCGCCGACGTGATGGCCCAGCAGGGGATCTACGACCGGACGCCGCCGCTGCCCCACACGCCGGGCATGGAGGGCGCGGGGGTCGTGGTCGCGGTGGGCGAGGGAGTCCAGGACCGCAAGGTGAGCGGAGCAGCCCCGGCCGGGGGTGCGGGCAGCCGGGCGGGAGGGGCGGCCGCGGGGGAAGCTGGCGGGGGTACCTGGGGAGACGGGCATGGAAGACATAGGAAAGGGGCCCGGCTTCTGAAGCTCCTGGGAAACTGGATTTGCATTGGGGGGCGGCGTGAACCGCAGTTATCCCCGCTTCCCAACCATTTTTCATGGTGGCCGCCGCCCAGGAGCTGCGGGGGTGGTGGTGGGTGTGTTTGGAGGGGAAACAATAAGACGTGCATGCGTGTAATGACCTTATTACTGTCCCACCCCCCAATCCCGCAATCGCCAGTGAAACCACACCTGTGCCCCTGCCCAAAAAACTCATCCCATAATGGTGTTTGTGACCCGATTGGTGCCTCGTGCCTCGGTGAGCTTGAGGAGCTATGGAGTCAGGGCTGGGGGGACGGCAGAGGGCTGTGCCAGAGCCCTAGTCACATGCAGCCCCGTGGTCTGTGGGGGTGTGAGGTGGTCCCTTCCTGGACCGCCCATCCTATGGAAGAGAGGGAGCCTGCCCCCACCCCTCCACCGGCCCCACAATGCCAGTACTGGGGATGTGCCTGCAACCTAGGAATAGAACCTGGGACTTTTCAGTCTGCAGGCCGACACTCTATCCACTGAGCCAAACTGGTTCCAGCTGTGTGGCTCTTCTTATCTGTAACCTCTGCCCACAACACACACATCTCTGGGTGAAAGTGCTCCTGGGCTCCCAGTGCTGACTCAGTTACTTCTCCTGAGGGAACCACACCCAGCTCTCACTGATCTCTGACCTGTTACTGTGGTATTGACCATATCACATACTCCATCTTCCTTCAGTTACTGGACTTGGTCACCTCCCCTCCTGGTTACTATTATTGTCATTATTGTTGTTGTTAGTTAACACCACTGTCTACTCTGTGGCCTACATTTGGCTAAAAAAAAGATAAATGATTTTTTGTTACTTAATCCTCACAACTGCCTAATTTACAGATAGGAAAACTGAGGCTCAAAAAAGTTAACTTTCTATTTGCCCAATGTCACATGGTCAATAAGTAGTGGAGCCTGTTTTTTTTTTGTTTTGTTTTTTTTTGTTTTTTTTTTTTAACAGAAGCAGCTTGATGTCTTCAATACTTTTTTAAAAAATATATTTTATTGATTTTTCACAGAGAGGAAGGGAGAGAGATAGAAAAGCTAGAAACATCAACGAGAGAGAGACATCGACCAGCTGCCTCCTGCACATCCCGATGTGTCCGCAGGCCGACGCTCTTATCCACTGAGCCAAACTGGTTTCGGCTGATCTCTTCAATACTTTATGCTGCCCCAACTGTAAGCTTCTTGCATCAGGGACCCCACAGAATAGTGAAGTCTAATATCTGTAAAATGGAGATAAGGATGGTATCTACCTTAAAGAGCTGGTGTAAGGATTAGTTAAGTGTTTATATAAAAATCACTTACAATATAGCCTGGTCCTTGGGGAGCACTCAGTAAAGGTAAGTTGTTATTGTTTGTAATGACATTATTATTATTATTACTAGAGGCCCAGTGCATGAAATTCGTGCATGGGGGTCCCTCAGCCCAACCTGCACCCTCTACAATCCAGGCGCTCTCAGGGGATGTCCTACTGATGGCTTAGGCCCACTCCCATGGTTCTCTGCTCTCTGCGGGCCTGGAGGTTTCGCTGCAGCCATGGAGATGAAGCCCCGTGCCCTGCTGTCTGCTCTCTGCCTGCCTCCGCCATGCACCATGTGAAGGAAGCCCCCATGCCCTGCAGTGTGCTCTGTCTGCCAGGCCAGGGGGCTTCGCTGACACCGACACTCTAAGGAAGCCCCCAAAGCCTGCTGTCTGGGCTCTGTCTGCTGGGCCTGGGGTGTTCCCGCTGCCTCTGTGCAAAGGAAGCTCCCAAGCCCTGCTGTCCTGGCTCTGTTTGCTGGGCCTGGCACTTCCCTGCTGCCGCTCTGCTAAGGAAGCCTCCATGCCCTGCTGCCCGGGCTCTGCCTGCCCTGTCTGGGGGCGGGTCAAGCCTCACTGCTTGGTCCCCCACCCCACAACCCTGGAGGGGCTGACAGACCCAGAAACGGCAACAGCTGTGGAGCTGGGAGGCTGGGTCCGCCCTCTCTGGAGGCAGATCTAGCCTGCTGCTCCTGGGGACAGGCCAGGCACTCCAGCAGCAGGGCTGAGGGGACTGGGAGCCGCCATTTTGTGGCTATGGGGGCTGCCATATTTGGCACGGAGTGATGGTTAATTTGCATATTGCTCTATTATTAGATAGGATTACCATAACTACCGATGCTCCTATATTACCAGGAAGAGGGCCTTGTACATAACAGAAGCTCATAAATTGCCAATGAGTGAATGAATGACTTAATCATGCTCTGCTTTTATTCTTCAAGGTAGGGGATCGGGTGATGGTGTTGGTCCGCTGGGGCATGTGGCAGGAGGAGGTGACTGTGCTCTCAGCCCAGACCTTTCTGATGCCTGAGGCCATGACCTTTGAGGAAGCTGCTGCCTTGCTGGTTAATTATATCACCGCATACATGATCCTCTTTGACTTTGGCAACCTACGGCCTGGCCACAGCGTCTTGGTACACATGGCTGCAGGTAACAGGCTCCTTTCCTTTATGCCCCCTCCTTAGCCAGATTTCCTCCTAGGCCCCTTCTCAGTAGCATGTCTGGACTGTTGCCATGGTAACACCAGGCTGCCTTGGCCTATGGCTCCCCGCAGGCCTCTGCAGTATTGTTGCCGTGGCAACATTCAGGCACCAGATCCAGCCTGGTGTGCTATCCATAGCAACATGCTGTGGCCCGGCACCCCTTCCTTGCCAGATACCCTTCCTCCAATTCTCAATCACAGAAATTGGACGTGAGATGAGAGGAGAAAGCCTCTGATTGAGCCCAGGCAAAATGAAGATGGTGGGGTTGGTCCTTGAGAGGCAAGAATGGAGGCTAGATGACTATATGACTATATCTCCTACTTATGAAAGTGTCTCCCGGCAGGGGGTGTGGGAATAGCCGCCTTGCAGCTGTGCCAAACAGTGGAGAATGTGACGGTGTTTGGAACGGCCTCGGCTAGGAAGCACGAGATGCTGAAGGAGAACGGGATCACACATCCCATTGACTACCACACGACTGACTACGTGGAGGCGGTCAAGAAGATCTCCCCCAAAGGTGGGCCAGGGTATGGGACGGCATGGCCCAGAGGGAAGGTCTCCAAATTGGTGGGCTCTAATGCTGCTCCTGGCCCCCTTACTCTGTGACAGGCGTGGACATCGTCATGGACCCTCTGGGTGGGGCCGACACTGCTAAGGGCTACAAGCTCCTGAAACCCATGGGCAAGCTGATCACCTATGGTAAGTCTGTGGGCCAGAATGAGGATCTAGGGGCCCAGGGCTCTTGAATGAAGAAGGGGCAGGGACCCAGGAGCTAAAGAGAGAGAGTGCCTTGCTGAAACCGGTTTGGCTCAGCGGTAGAGCGTAAGTCTGCGGACTGAAAGGTCCCAGGTTCGATTCCGGCCAAGGGCATGTACATTGGTTGCGGGCACATCTCCGGTAGGGGATGTGCAAGAGGCAGCTGGTCGATGTTTCTCTCTCATCGATGTTTCTAGCTCTCTATCTCTCTCCCTTCCTCTCTGTGGGAAGGTCAATAAAATATATTTTTTTAAAAAAAGAAAAAAGAAAAAAAAAGAGAGAGTGCCAAGGGTAGGATGGCCCTGAGATGTTGCACTCAGATTGCTGCCTCCTGGGTGCAGCTGTTGTCATTTTCTTTCACAGCCTCCCATGTGAGTGATAGCAAATTGTGTTCTTTCTGTGCTCCTGTTTGGGGATTATTCTTTTTAAAATTATATTTTTATTGATTTCAGAGATGGAAGGAGAGGGAGAAAGAGATAGAAACATCAATGATGAGAGAGAACCATTGATTGGCTGCCTCCTGCATACCCCACTCTGGGGATTGAGCCCACAACCCCAGCATGTGCCCTTAACTGGTATTGATCTGGGACCTCTCAGGCTGCAGGCCTTTGCTTTACCCACTGAGCCAAACCAGCTAGGGCTGGGGATTATTCTTGATGCACAATCACCCCGTCTGCCTTCCTCTGTTTTACTCTCCTCGGACAACTGCATTTCCACTTAAAATTAGTTTCACACACCTGAAACTAATACAAAATAATAAAGAATGTAAACTATCATTGAGAAATAAAATTAAAAAAAAACATTTCACATAAAAAGAAACAAATAGACATTAGAACCAGTTTTGAGTTAGATGGAATCTTTTGGAGCTTGATAGCCTGCAGGCAGTGGGTTATGCTGTCACTTCCTGGCACTGGCATGGATAATGCTAAGGGCCCACAGGGCTGGGCCTGGCACCCGGATTCACAGGCCGTGTCTCCTTGTCTCTCAGGAATGGCCAACCTGATGACAGGCCCCAAGCGGAACCTGATGGCCCTGGCACGTACATGGTGGAATCAGTTCAGCGTGACAGCTCTGCAGCTGCTGCCGGCCAACCGGGCCGTGTGTGGCTACCACCTGGGCTACCTGCACGATGAGGTGGAGCTGCTTGATGGTGTGGTGTCCCGCCTGGTGGCTCTGTACAACCAGGGCCACATCAAACCTCACATTGACTCTGTGTGGCCCTTTGAGAAGGTGAGTGTGATGGCTCTGCAGGAAGGGCCTGGGCAGGACCCTAAAAGGCTGGGGTCCTAGGGGGAGGATTCCTTGGAGAAGGAGGTCCTCCTTCTTTAGGAGGACTCTCTGGAGCACTGGGAACAAAAAAAATATATTTATTTTATTGATTTTTAAAAAAATATATTTTATTTATTTTTTACGGAGAGAAAGAGAGAGGAATAGAGAGTTAGAAACATTGATGAGAGAGAAACATTGATCAGCTGCCTCCTGCACACCCCCTACTGGGGATGTGCCTACAACCAAGGTACATGCCCTTGACCGGAATCGAACCTGGGACCCTTCAGGCCACAGGCTGATGCTCTATCCACTGAGCCAAACCAGTTTTGGCTATTTTATTGATTTTTTTACAGAGAGGAAGGGAGAGAGATAGTTAGAAACATTGATGAGAAAGAAACATCCATCAGCTGCCTCCTGCACACCCCTCATCGGGGATGTGCCCGCAACCAAAATACATGATCTTACACCAGAATCAAATCGGAGACCTTTCAGGCCGCAGGCTGATGCTCTATCCACTGAGCCAAACCGGTTTTGCCCCTTCTCTTCCTTTTCAGGTGGCGGATGCCATGAAGCAGATACACGAGAAGAAGAATGTGGGCAAAGTCCTCCTGGTGCCTGGGGCAGAGAAGGAGAACTAGGATGGGGGCTGGGAGACGCTCGGGAAGAGAGAAGCTGGGAGGCCATGTTATGGTGGCCACCAGATCCTCCAGTTTCATCCTCTATCATAACGCTCTACCCTCTCCCCCCAAAGGTCTCCATGGTGATGACCTCTCCCCTGTCCTGTGTTTTCTCTAAAGCCAGGGCTGCCCCCTCCCTCCTTCCTGACCTCTGAAGAGGTTGGGAAGTGACCATTTGGATGTCTGGGCCCCGCCAAGGGGACAGGGAGGGGCAGAGGGATTCTGGCCTCATCTCCCCTCCTGTCCTTGCCCCATTACTTCCCCCAAAGAAATGAAATGTCAGCTCAGGATATGGGGCCAATCTCTGTGAGTCCAGCATGTCCCTGTTTCGCCCTAGTGTCCCTTCAACCCGGGCCGACCAGCGCCCACCTCTGAACTCCTTTGCCTCGTTGTGTGGCCTCATCTTCTTGTCCCCCAACTTCTTAAGCACAATCGGGCTCCTTCCACCTCCATGTTTCCTGCCTCTCTTCACCCTGGTGGCCTCTTACCACAAGGGCAGGCATCACACCTGCTCCCCTAGATCAGACTCTGGGGGAGGGACGCAGAGGCCCCCTTCCTTCACTGAGTTCTCTGCATTTGTTCTCAGTGCCTTAGCAATGGACAACCTGTGCTGTGCATATGGAGAGGGGCCCTGTCCCTGCCTCACACCTCCTTCTCCACCCTGTGCTCCCCAGTGCCTTCCTTGTTCTGGTGGAGCTGGGGTTCTACTGCTCCCCAGTCTCACAACACCTCCAAACCTCTGAGAGTGCCAGTGTCAGGGGCAGGAACAGCCCCTGGCCTCCTAGTCCTGTGCCATGTGCTGTCTCTCTCTGGGCTGTCATTTCTCTCTCAGAGGTTGAGGAGGAAGAGGGGGGAGTTTTCTCAGCCTTGCAGGGAAGGATGGCACTGACCAGCCAGAGCCCTGGGAGTCAGTGCTGTCTACTTCTTGTTCTGGGACCAAAGTAAACATTAAAGCACATCCCCGTGCAGCCATGGGAGGCCCCTGCCCCCAGCCTTCTCAGAGCAGGGAGGCACCTTCTCAAGCTCATGCCCAAACTTTGTTTACATGGGTGGGGAGATGCAGTGAGGGAGATGGTGGGGGCGGGGGGCGGGTTGGGAACTGGGCCCCTGGAACCAAAGTGGGGACTTCCTAGGGTACAGGTGTAGCTCCCTCAGCTCTCTGAGCTGGCATTAGGAAGGGTTCTTGCCCAGCCATTGGCAATGGGAGGTGGTGGGGAGGGGTTCAGCCTCTTCATTGTCTAAATGAGGCCTAAAAGGTGTGAAGTGCGACTTCTGCTTTTGTGTACCCCACCCCATGACCAACCGAAGCTGCCTTTGTGTTTGTGTCAATAAAAAGCTCAACCCTTGCCAGACCGGTTTGGCTCAATGGATAGAGCTTCCGCTTGGGGACTGAAAGGTCCCAGGTTCGATTCCGGTCAAGGGCATGTACCTCGGTTGCAGGCATATCCCCAGTAGGGGGTGTGCAAGAGGCAGCTGATCGATGACTCTCTCTCATCGATGTTTCTGACTCTATCTCTCTCCCTTCCTCTCTGTACAAAATCAATAAGATATGTTAAAAAAAAACAAACTTATTAAAAAAAAAAAAAAAAAAAAAAAAAAAAAGCTCAACCCTGGCTCCTGGCTGTTGCCTCTGAGAGTGGAGGGGAAGGTCGGTGTTGGTGGTGGAAGGCTATAGTTTCTGCCCTCCTCCCCACCCCCCGCCTCCTTCCTTTCCCAAATCAAGTTTCTTTCATGAAATGAAATGAGCCGAAACCGGTTTGGCTCAGTGGATAGAGTCCCAAGTTTGATTCCGGTCAAGGGCATGTACCTTGGTTGTGGGCACATCCCTAGTAGGGGTGTGTAGGAGGCAGCTGATTGATGATTCTCTCTCCTTGATGTTTCTAACTCTCTATCCCTTTCTCTTCCTCTCTGTAAAAGATCAATAAAAATATAAAATAAAATAAAAAATATAAAATGAAATGAAATGAGGAAGGAGATCACTCCAGGCAGGCACTTTTACTGTCTGGAACAGCGTTTCACAGCTCAGAGTCCTGCCCTCCGTTGACTAGCAGGATCTTGATCATCCGCATGCACCCAACCCCAGCCCGGTTAGAGAACCTTGGCAGAGGGCTGGAGGGCGGTGAGAAGGCTCCTAGCTGGACTCGGTGGTGAAGACGGCCAGGCGTTGCTCTCCTGGGGGCACGGCTGTCAGGGCCTCCACCTCCCCTCCCCCACGGGTGGGCTTCTGGAAGTGCACCTGCAGGACATC